GCAATATTTTTAATTTTACCACGACTTTTAAAATTAATTTCTCCAACAAATGAGCCAGATTTGACAATTCTGAATAATGGAGGCTTAAATACTAGAACCTCCACAAATATCTTTAATATTTTTCCAAAGTGTAGGAATGTTGCCACAATTCAGGAAACAGAATACAAAGACCCAGTTATATAGTAAGAAACCATCAACAAATCACTAAAAATAAAATTGACATCAGTTTTCAACTGATGATCTAACCCCCAACAGTATTTAGTATTTACTGATCTAACCCTCAAATCAGACTTTTTTGCAAAGTTTGCAAATTTTCAGTGGCAACACCACAAAGTCTTATATTATTCTTAAAACCAGTGGATACATTATATTTCCAGTAATGAAAATATGAAGTACAAGTATAACCCAGTTCTGCTTTTCCTGGTTCTTTTTTTTAACAGCTAGCTCATCCTATAACCAAAGAAGTACAGACTACATCCAAACTGTTTAGGAACACAAGCTTTTAGAAGAAAAACCTTAAAAATAAATACCTGGGTATTTTCTTTTAAAGGAAGTCACACCTAAATATTCACTGACTTGCTCCTGAAGCATATAGTATTCTCCAGTTTCATCAGGTGGCCATTTGTATTCTATCAAATTTTCAGCAGGAAAGTAACTATACCTAAACATAAGAACAATGTTACAACAAATCAAAACAATCCTTAATAATACTACTCACATCTCTTGACATTCAGTAATTCCTATTTATATGTCAATGAACGGTAACTACAAAGTTGGACAAGCACTTCAAAACACTGCATCCTGTTAACATTTTAAAAGCCACTTTTTTATACCCAACCTCACACATCTTTTTCTAAAGCATCATTTATCAACATGCTAAGGGACAGAATCCAAAGAAACTGACAGCCATCGTAAAGGAGATGACACCAGGAAAAGCAACTACTACAAAGTCAAAACTCATTCAAGTATGTAATGTCATAAAAACATGTAAACTGTGCTTCTGATTGTAAATCAGATGCAACACTTTTTTGGCACTCTAAAATAAAATGCCTTAAAATATGCTGGGAGCAATAGACATCTAGCTATTTATAGGACATCACCTCAACTTGTAAAGAGGTATGAAGAATACACAATTAATGAATAAAGAGCTAATAATTAAGCATGCTGAACAATAAAGTCAGACTTGCAATAAAAAGTGGGAATTGTGAAAAACAGCATTACCCAAGGTCTTGACTGGAAGTTTCACAGCTCCGAGAACTGTCCCCTGAGCCCATACGCCGTCTTTTGGATGGCTGGCTCCCATCATTGGAATTTTCTTCTGTGTCATCCTGAAAGGACAATAAATATTAAAAAAATTAGACTACTCCAAAGATAATGTAAAACAACATAAACATTGTCAGGCAATCTAGAATTTAAATATACTTGAACTGCTAAGCCATTTTATGACAGTCTGAAACAACTCAGTCCACATAAATTATTCTTTGTTATAAACTATCTGCATGACATATGGTAGCCCAGTAGAACTGGGCAGCTTCTCACCTGTGGCATAGGCAGAGTTCTGAATAGATAGAGCTGTAGCTCTGACCACCAAGTTCATAATTCCTGATGTAAACATCTTCTTACACTTGATCAGACTAGCACTCTACACCAAAATAAAGTGCAAAACAAAAACGCCAATTCCTTGCTCAGAGCTGATGCTTACAAAATCAGGGAAAATATTACTGAAAGCAACACAGGAGTTTATAAGTATACAGTTAAAATAAAAGGAATGGTATACAGTTTACAAAAAATATTATTACAAACAAGTAGCAAAGATTTGTGTCTTGAGATGAAAAAATATATGGAAGAAAAAACCCAACTTGGTATTACAACAGATACAGAAGAGAACAAGGCTCTTACAAGGAAACATTCAGACAGGTGTCACTATTCAGTTTTCATGTGATCAATATAATGAAAGGGAATAAAGAACGAAGAGGAGAAAAAAAAGACCAAAGCAAAACAAAGAGTTCTGTAAAATCTAGAAGACAGTGACTCAGTTGATGCTGAGTTTTTCACTGCTTTGTTGTCGCAGAATGCTGTACAGCCTCTACCTGCAATCATCAACAATCTCAAAGCATTTATTGACCAACCGTGTCTGATAATAATTGAAATACAGAAAGCAGAAATCTTTGTGAATTGCCCACCGTGATCAGTAGTTGAGTCAATAACAAAACAGTTCTTTAAGTAATTGAACTTCTAAAGTGGAGCAGAGTGAGAGAATCAATTTCATAACTTCTGTGAAAAGTAAGAAAGAGGAATTAACCTGTCAGAAATAAATGGATCAAGACTAACTATACTTACTTATTTTAAAATGACAACAGTGATTATTAGGTCTACCTTTGCTAATGTCTTTCATTCTAGTATGTTTTACTTAACATATGACTTGAAGTATCAATTTAAAAATATTCCAGTAAACAAGAATACATTACTTTTAAGTAATGTAAGCAACATTTCACAATGTTATGATCAAGACAGGCCACAGACAAAAACCTATTGTCTCCTGTATTTTTGGCTTTTTTTTTTTTTGCTTTTCTGCAATTTTTTACAAATAGTTTTCTTCCTCTTTAAGGAGCAAGAACATCTTTCACACAGTAATAAAAACTGAAAAGCAAAATTTAATGACACTGTTTTGTTAGTGCAGCCATCCTTAAAAAAAAGCAGCATGCAGCATCTCCACTCACACTACCAGTTATGTCACTTTGTAGTATTGCTGAAAATACCCTGTGTGAACTTAGAAGAAGCAGCAGCCCCCAGTCAAAACAATATTGCATTAGAGTGTTTTGTGACATAGCTGTCTAGTCAGTAGTTCATTCCTACTTCCCACAAGAATACTAGTGCACTCCAAATATTTTTAACTGCTAGACAAACACCTGAACAGGGCAAAAGCAACCCTTTGGTATATCAAAACTTCCAAGGGACTTCAAAACATCATTAAAAGATCTCAACCTGACAGTTTGGTGGAAGTGTCTGATATTAGTTTCTTCTTTCACTTTGTAATTTTCATACTCAGTACTGTTACAAAGTATGAGTCTCCATAATACAGAGAGATCAGTGCTCTCCATTTCCACATTTGCTTCCCTCAGTGCTTAAAATTTCACGAAATTCAATCACACAAGTTCAGTTTGTTGGAGACAACTTAGTATATGAAGTGAAAACATCTGCAATCTAAAGGCACAATGCTGCTCAACCACCTTTACTGTTCAAAAACAGAAAAAAGGGATAGCTCCGTGGCTCTCTTTACATGAAAAGTCAAACACTGTCCAAAAAAGCCCCTTGAAAACGCATGTTTCTGTAAAAAGCTTGTTAGTCCTTTCAAAACATGGTGACGTTACAAACTTCTGGTACGCCTGTCACTGTAAGATCGACGTAGCGCTGCTTTATTAAGCGATAGAGAAGCCTGAACTAGCACAGACGCGTTTCACAGGGCGACTGCCAATCTGCGCCAGGAGTCTTTGGCGCCACAAGTGCCCGCGGTGCCCGGGATGCGCGGGAGCAGCCGGCCGGGCCAACGCGGAACTGCCCGCGGCCAGACCCAAACTTTCCCTGCTGCGGCGCTGCTGCGGTGAGGACTCAGCCGCCCCCGGGAGGACGCCGAGGGACTTTTGGGAAGGAGGACGGCCCGGACCAGCCGGCCGCAGACCAGCGCTCAAAGTTCTGCGCAGGGCGCGGGAGGCCGCCCGCCGCCGCCCGGCTCCCGCAGCGGGCGGGAGGTGAGCCCGGGGCGGCCGGGTCGGGTGAGGGGCGCGGGTCAGGGCGCGGGGGCCGCGCGAGGCCTCCCGCCGAGGCGGCTGTCGCGCCGCAGCTCGCGGCCGCCGCCAACCGCTCTCACCTTGAGGGACTGCGCGCCGGGCGTGGCCGGGTCGCTGTCGCAGAGGCGCGGGGACAGCACGGCCGCCATGGCCGCCGCCGGCTGGGCCAACAGGAGCGACGCCGCCGCTGCCGCGCGACCGGGCCTCGCGCCGCGCCCGCCGGCCCCGCCCCCCCGCGCCCTGCGGGGAGCGGCAGCGGCCCCTACCGGCCAGCGCCCGCACGGGCGCGGCGGCTCCTGCTCCGCCCCCCTCCGGGCAGCCCGCGGCGACCCCGGCCCGCGCCGCCGGACCGGCACCCGCACCGACCCGGCGCCGCCCCGCGGGACAGGCGCGGGGGATCCGTCGCCGCCGGTGCTGCCGCCGCCGCCGCGCCCTTCTCCTCCTCCTGCCGCCGCCGCTCGGGCGGCCGCGCGGCCCGGCCGCGAGCGCGGAGCCGAGCCGCCGCGGTAGCGCTTGGGCAGCAGCGCGGCACGGAGGGGCAGCATCCCCCCGGCGGCGTGGTCAGCGCCGAGCGCGGGAGCTGGCGCCCAGCAGGGCCGGGCTGCTCCGCTCCGCCGGCAGGCTCCCGTCTCCGGGAACGTCAGCCGGGGACGAGCTACGTTTGTGAACCATCAGCCCCCGCAGGAGGGGGGTTCGGGGGGCGGGGGGCGCACTCGGAGGAGCCGCCACGAGCGCGCTCGCCCCTGCGACGGAGGGAGGGCGTGTGCGGCCGCTCCCCGCCGCTGCGCGGTCGCGCCGAGCCCGCCGCGCGCCGGGCCGCGCCGCCCCCCGGTGCCGGTGCCGCCGGTACGCGCGGGCGGAGCTGAAGCGGGGCCCTCCCTGCCCGCCACGGGAACGACCCTCGTCCCGGGGACCGCGGCGGCGCGCGCGCCCGCCCGCAGCCGGGCCCCGCGGGCGCGCGCGGCCCCGCGCCGGCGAACAAAGCGCACGGCCGCGCCCCAGCCCCGGCACCGCCCCCGGCCGGGGCGCCCCTGGCCCCGCGTGTGCGCCCACCCGCGGCCCGGGCTGCTCACCGCCCCTCGGGGTTTGCCCGGCCGCGGCTCCAAAGCGCTCAGACCCAAGCTGGCCACGGGCCGGTGGGAAGCACCGCCGCCCCGTCCGCGTTTGTTTTCAGCTCCCAACAATAGAACGGATGTGGCAAAGACACCAGCGCTGGATCTCCATGCACGGCTTATTCAAAAGGTGATGTCTACACACTTCACAGATCTGCGAGTCTCATTTAAAAAATACAATCGGTGCTGCCCTTGCTAGATATGGACCAATTCTCAATAGCCTTGTGATTGATCCCATCATCCTCCTACAACTGTCACCAGAAACCCCTAGACCAAAGTGACCCAACTCGCTCAATTCAGTACTTGTCCACCAACCAGACCCTAGGCAATACTTAACCAAAGGTTAAGACCCAGGGAACCTAATAACTGATCTTAACTTCATTCAAGGCAAACGGCTAGAAATTTGCACAAGTTTCTAGGACTGCAAAACACCGCTTCCCTCCAGCCACGTTTCTAGGCAGACTAGCATTTTATCAGATACCAGCTATGAAAATGAAAAATGAACACTGCTTTTTCTTACAAAAAGCATGCTTTTAAGAAAACTGATACGTGCAACCGCATATAAGCATTGGTGAACAGTCCTAGGCACTCAACAGACAAGCAACATTCAAAATTTTGCAATGTTTGGCCTTACACCAGCTGCTCCCACTTCCACAGCAGAGCATTACAACAGATGAAGCCCATATGTACTCAACCATAAACATTTCCAAAGCAGTTTTGTTTGGTTTTTTTTTTAAACAGAGCAAAATCAAGCAAAATTATCTCAACTATATGTCAGTTTGAATGTGCCAACAGCAATAGGACAAAAAGGAATAACATAATTATGATGTTTTTAAATTTTTCTAATATACCATGTCTTGTGATGCACAAATGCAGCTGTGACTTTCAGTTTTAGTCGTAATAACAAGCCATTACCAAAGCCAGTGCAATAAATGTATCAGTTTCACATTTAGCTGAAACCCAAGTATCTCTCTCAGCATCCCAGAGGCATCTGCTGGCAACCTAAAGAGATAAAAGAGAAAAAGTTACAAGTGAACCTATATTCAGCAGTTTTACTATTTATTTTTAAAGAACACCTAGCATCTACATGCTAATTAATCGTATTAAGAGAATTACAACTATTAACAACAATGCAAAAGTTGAATAAAATTAACAATTCCTATTCAATGTTAAATACATGTTCTTGCTTCGCAGTGAAGTTCCCACACAGATAGATTCAAAAATCTCAGTACCAAACCCCCAATTCTGTCTTGTGTTCACGTGTTACAATTTAACATACAGTAAGAGCACCCCTTCAAAAGCAATTGTATGTCAGTGTGAATAGACTTCAGTTTTGGGAACACATACAACCAAAGTCACATCCCCCACTCCTCCACCTCCAGCTTACTCCAGCCTACTTGTAAATTTATTGGGCTCTCAGCCTTTTTGATAAAATTGTTTTCAAAGCTGAACTGTGTGAATTGATGGATGGAATAAACACATTCCTTGGGAGAAAAAGTTAACTTGGACAACTTCACTAATCTGTTTGTACCTACAGCTCCTTAGTCAAAGCACCCCTTAAGAGGCAGAGTACTGTGAGATGCTACCAGAAAAGCAGGTAGATGCAGGCAACTCACAAACTGGATTTGGTACTGAAGCTGAACCCTTCAAACATTGTTTCATGTAACTCACTAAACACAGGTTGGTTTCAATCAGGTTTTAAGAACTGATAATGAACACTCTAAAGCAGAAGTGTTCTTTGACACTCTACTAGACAGATAAAACATTCTGAATGCCAGTGGGAGCTCCAAGCTAATTGGAATACTAAATTTATACACCAACACAGCAAAATCTAGCATCCTTTTATTTTAGGTGTTCCAAGTTCAGATGACTGGTGTTAATTTAAAGTCCCAGGACAATGTCTGGTGGCAGCTGCACTTACCAGCCCTTTCCTTGCCACCCTTCTGTTCCATGACACCCAACACTACAAATGCATAGCATTTTTTGTGGAATGTGAGAACCCAAATGTCCAAGTACACTGGACAAAGAAAAACAAAATTCGCTGAACTCATGGAATTGTATGGCACAGCAGGCAGTGGAAACAAGTGGATGACAGGAAAGTGCAGTTGGGGCTGTTTGCCACTTACTGAACACATGAACACAACAACTTTCAGAGTGTAGGCAGAATCACAGCAGCACCTTGAATTGTCACCTGGGATACTATTACCCATAAAGGAGGTAAAAGGTTCAGGACCACCTCAAACAAGTTTAGCTGCTGAAAGTGAAAGAACACCTAGGAGATAACACACAATTCTAAAAGGTGTAACAAATAATATGTTTGCTTACAATCATTGCCTGATTCGCCTTTTCCACAATTAGCACTGTCACCACATACTTATAACGGTCATAGTCCAATTCCTTCACAGCATTTAATATTTCTTCTGATATTGAAGCACACAAGAAGGGACTAGAAGCTCCATCATATGTGGCTTCTTGTAGTTTCTTCTATGAAAAACAATTTAGAAAGATCTTAGTTTTCATCCTAGTAGTCTTTTGCAAAAAACACCCTTTACAGTCATTTTCATTACAAGAACATGAGAAGAACTAATGAATTGAATAGTCAGTACAGACGATGGTCTCAAACAGCAAAGGATGAACTGCTTTTACTCCAAAATGTTTTATCTGTTTTTTTAAAGGTGACACACATGCCCAGCCAATCTCTATTTAACAATCAGGAGTGTATTCTTCTCCATTATTCGAGCTCAGTTCACTGGAAAACAGTGCTACAAATATCTGTTCCAAATACCCAAGATATGTCTTCCAGACAGCAGAATTAAAAAAATCTGGTGATAACTGTTCAAATACCACTAACAGCTTTGGATTACCTCAAAAAATTGTTTCATTTCATTTTGGCTTAATTTGTGTATGTACCAGTCTGACTGTCAAGGATACCAAGTAATTTTATGCAGGTCCTGTGATATTAGCAGAATTAATAGAAATCCACAAATTTGATGTCATGATCTTTTGCTAACTGAACATTTTGTGGATTATGGTACTTTGAAATGTGCTGCAGCACAATTTGACTTAAAAAATGCAGGAGTTTATGAAGCTTGACTTCCACCCAAACAGCACATGCTCAGCAGTGACTTTGCAGAGGCCCTTCTGCACTTTGCAAAACTGAGTACGTTCACATTACATTCATGTGCGAAAACTCAAAAGACTGCAGAGATTTATGTGTGTTTAAGTTTATGCAATATTCACTGTTCCGTAAATACTTCTGCAAGACAGGCTGCTTTTGCAATGAGCAAATTAATTTAAATACTATACCGTTAGTATTGCTTCAGCTTTGTCTCTGACTAAAGCATCCCGAACTTTAGTACGTGGCTCCAGTCTGTATGTGTTACAGCTTTTTGGCTTTGCCTTTCCTTCTGTTGGAGCTGTGCCTGAAGCATCCTGAGGTGGTTTTTTTCCTTTTGACTGTACAAAATAATAAGAAAAAATCCACATCACATGTCAATATTTTAGAATTTAAAGACACTAAATAATACTTTATGGTGTACAGCTAAGAGAAAAAAACCCCAACAATTAGTTTAGGAATATGTTAAGAAAAACCACAGAAAGCTAGAAACTGGTTATCATCTTCTGGCTGTTTTAACACTACTGTTTTGCCTGAAATAGGAGAAGTGGTTGACTTCCACTCAACTTTAAATTTTTTTTCAGCAAAATCCAACTGAACTTTAAACTTGTCAATCAGATACACCATATTACCACCCTTAATCCACTCCCTTTTCCAAGGAAAAATACAGAGATATTAACATACCCAACCAGGACTGTTAGCCACAAGTTCAAGTTTCTCATTCAAATAGCCTATACAATATCCAAAATACAGATTTGGTTCATTTGTTCATTTACTACTTCATTTTGCTTGTCCTTATTCCTTGTTACTAAAATAGTAGCTTATGTAATGATGATTTAATTTGCTCAAAAAAAAAAAAAAAAAAAAGAAGAAGAAGAAGAAGGAAAAAAAGTAAGCCCCAGTGTGCAAAGCTTTGTAATTTTGCTTGGAACTTAAACCCAGATCTCTGATGATCACATTTTCTCCCCATCCAGCTATGTACTCTCTCTCTGCAACAAATATAACAAAACTTGTGCTGCTATGAATGCAAGAAACAAGTCTGATGTTGCAAAAAATAATGTCACCTGCTGTCCACCAAGGTGGCTTAAAATAGAACTGTAAAATAGTAACAGAGACAGAAAAGCACAAGGAACCAATGACATCCTAACAATTGCCACAGGCAATGGTCTTCCATACCAGCTACTTCGTAACAAACCACTTCCAAGTTTCACCGACTCTTCAGTCTCAGCTCCACTTCCTGACTACTGCTACAACCTAACATTGAGAGACAATGATCAGTTCCTTTCCAGGACAGCAGAAAAGAACTCAAAGGTGAAATAACATCACAATGTGAGGTTTATGCTAAGAAGTACAGAATAAAAGTCACTTAAGGATAATATAAAAGTCTAATAAGAATTATTTTAGAAGACATGCTACTCAGGGGCTCACAGCTCTTTCCATCTGAGGAGTTTAAAGAATCAGGGAAGAAATGCAGTTTCTTCTCCACGAAATCACTTGCACATTCGTTCTGTCAAAAGCTGTGGACATTACCTAAAAGTGTCCTTTAGTTCCTTAAAAGCAGTGATGTTGGCAGCCTTAGTGCAAATGGCCTGCTGGTGTTTGTTGAACTCTGAATAACACTTACTCTAAATCACAAGGACCAAACACATTTGCAGTTAGCCTGTGGACACTCGTTATCTACTAACTGCAAACTCAGATCTCAAAAGACTACCACCCTGACATACTCATCACACGTCACCTAACAGAAGAAAAAACACCTCAAGTATTGCAGCTGAGGTCTTCAAATGAGCATCCCCATCCATGTGAGTAGCAATGAACTTGTGAAAAAAGGTGCTGTCTAAACAGTGATTCTTTGCTGACATGGTTCAGCTTGAGCCACACTACCTTCAACCTCTTACATCAATGATGGAAAAAAATTCATGTCTATAGCATACAACTTCTAACAATGGCCATACTTAAAAGTTTACCTGCTATTATTAGTGACAGGAGTTTTCATAATTACTTGCAAGAAGTCATTGCATTTACTAATGAGGCAACCAAAAACCTCAATTTCACTATAGATGTTGCTAGTAAATAAACCTACTTCTGTATATCACTGTATAGAATCCACAGTAAACCCCTAAGTTTTAGCACAATGTTGCAATTATGTTTCTGTAAAATATTTGCACCTTCTGTGAATAAAACTCTCAGATGTTCAAGAACTGACTGCATTTGAGCACTTGACCAAAAAACGCTTGTTCTTAGGCTACTCAACTCGAGTACATTGGCTTAACTTTGGACATATGGAAGGAAGTATGTCAAGAGGAAAAAAAAAAAAAAGCTTTTGCTATTGAAATAAAATTCTGTTTGTTAGTAAGTCCATTTTAACAACCAATAGGTTTTAATTGTTAAAACAAACAAAAAAGAGTTCTTGTGTATTCCTTCAGAAGAGGGCACGGCTTCTAGTTTGGAGCAGCACCCCAGGTTGGAGAGGCTGCCCCACCAAAGGCAGGACGCCCCTTCTCGTTGCCATCACAGCAGCCAGCTGCAGGGCGCGAGCGGGCGTCGCACCTGACCGGGCAGAAGGAGCACGCGCTATGCCAAACCGGCCGCTAACCAACACCAAGTATTCCTGATGCCAATTTTCACAAAATCACACGCACCCTTTAACCCACCTTCTCCGCGCCCCATCCATCCCTCCCAACTGAAGCGCGGCAGGCCCGGACCAGCACACCTCCCCCCAAGTCGGGCATCACACCCTCCCGCGCCGGGGCCACTGTCCCCGCTCCCGGCGGGCGGTGCCCCAGCCCCGGCCGGCTCAGCCCCGGCGGCGCTCACCGTGTCTTTATCCTGGCGCTTTTTGCCTCCCTCCATGGCCGTGGCGGCAGCCCCGCGGCGCGGCGGGCGGCGGCCCGGGCCCTGCCCGCGAGCCGGCCGTGACGTGGCGCGCGGGCGGCGGTAACGGAGACGGCGGCGGCCATGGCGGCACCGGCGGCGCCGGGCCCCGGGAAAGGGCCGGGCCCCGGGAAAGGGCCGGCGCTGCGGGCGGGGAGAGCCCGGCCCTGCTTCTGCCAGAGCCAGCCCGGGGCTTGCTGACCTGCCCTCCCTGCAAAAGTCACCGCCCTGCCCCGTGCCCGGCCCGCTTTACATAAACGATCGTGGTAAAGGGGGGCAGCGGGCGTGCGGGGCTTGCCTGGCCTTCTGTCCTTGAGAGTGAAACGGCGAACGCGAAGGGGAACAGACACAAATTAAGATGGACTGAAGCATATATCCTAAGATATGGTCTTAGGAACATTGTAGATGTTTAAATTCGTTTTTCTTTATAGCAGGTAGGTACTCCAGATGGCAGCTAATAGCGGTTTCCAATGGGAACTGTTACCCTTGCTTAGTCCTGATAGCTATATAAATATTTCTTCTCTCCTTGAAGCCATGAATTCAGAAATTACATATGTGAGGGCTAATTCTGCCACCCAATTAGAGAGGAAAAATGTTTTTAATTTAACTTTAATGGCATATTTTTAGTTATTATTAGTTGTGGTACTTCATTATATGTTTCTTGTCTATCTAATGAGTGAAGAAGTGTGATTCTTTTAACTAAATCAGAAGCATTTTCCTGCTTGTTAACATGGGCATTTTTTTCTGTGCAATTTTTAAAATTTAAATGTGTGCTTTTATATCAGTTGATTTTTCTCTTTAGACTAATGTGAAAATAGCATGGATGCTTAACAGAATTCATGTATTCTTCCCCTGCCTCTCTCCAAGGATCTTGCTGGTTGTAAGGACTGATACTCTTGTTTTACTTGAAGTAGCATGAGTTTCTCTGCAAGCTCAGAAATTAGACAGAACATTTCTATATAAACTGGGATATTTTACTTCAGTCTACCTTGTCATGAAATACACCATCCTGACCTTGTGAAAACAGAGCAATGCTTTCCCTCAGTTTTATGAAGGTGGTTCTGGTTGAGAGTTCTCCTTTCATCATGTATGAGAATGAAACTTGCATTGCAAACCCAAACAGATTGTTTACAGACACCATATAACTGTGTTTCTGTGCTGATGGGTATGTTTTAATAATTTTTTTTGTTCTCATGTCCTTTCTTGTTACAAGGATTCTTTCTCTGTGTGCGTGTGTGTTTGTTCTAGATGGTGTTGCCAGACTCGGTCACTACTTGCCTTTCTCAGCCTGTGCATTATGCAATTTGCAAACTTGGATTTGAGAAGAAAGACACCCATGATATTGATAACATTTTATCTGAAAATGGGGAAGTATGTTGGCAAGCTGTTACAGAGCACGTGTGTTACCTTGAATCAGGTTGGTGTTTACCTGCTGTAGCAGTGATGCATGTAAGACTGATGCAGAATTTCAGTACAGCTCATAGCAATCCTAGCTGAGTTGTGACAGTTTGTTACAGTACACTACTAGCTCTGCTGCATATTAGAGTATGTAGAGTTCATACCTACAAAGAGCTTTAAATTTTCCATCTGCATTTGGTATTTGGCTTTTGCTGGCTCCTAAGGTTCATGTAATTTGTTCTACCTAAGTAGCTCCTACTTTGCCTTCATCTTGGTTCCCAGCTAAATGTGCCTGTTATATAAGGGGTTCAGTTCTGTTTCTCTCCAACTGCATAATTGTCTTGTTCTGTCTTCTTTATAGTCCTTTTGCACTAAATTTAAAAGCCTGGGACCATCAATATTGGTACTGTTTCTTCTGTTTGCGTTTCCCAACTTCAGGTTGTACAGAAGTATGGTCTTGTTTCCCTTCTATGTGGAATAGTTTGTAGTTGTTTTTTTAACCAAAACAAAGTATTTATGTCCTGATGAATTAATAGAACTTTAATTTGTAAATTGCATCATGCAAGCTATGTTATATATTTCCAGAGGTGGTAGAAATATCTTTCAGTAAACCAGAAGAACTTATTTTCCTAGAAAAAGTGTCTCATGAAAAAGAGGCAATGATACCACTCTGTAAGGTACCACATCCATCTGCCTTCTTTAAAGGCCATAAGTGGTGCAGTTTGACTCTCACTGAGCCTGCACTAGCATCCGGCTTGATATATGGGATTTCTATAGAAATTCTAGAAGGTTCTATATATTTCAACAAAAGCAGAACATAATGATCCTATTTACTTCCATATTTACTTGTGTTAAGTTTCTGTTGGGGTACTATTTTTGTGGGGTTTTTTAGTTCTGTTTGGAGAAGGTGCTTGATATTACCTGATTTTGCATTGCAGTTTTACTTTTCAATACCTTTTCTGTGTGGTGTTTTGGTGTAAATTGTCTTGTATTGGTTGTACTAAAATAGTCGGGATAAAACTGTCTGTGCTAAATATGTACACAAACTGTAGCAGGTTTTATCCCTAGTGAGTTTTAAAATATTAGACTTTCAGGAAGGTTGGTATCCTAATCACCTTAATCACCTTCAATTTTTCAATTTAAGATCAAAGTGTGGATTATATCAAAAGCATACGATCATTAGGACCTGTCTGTGAATCTGTTAATTCATACTTCAAATCTCTGACCAAGGATCAGTTTGTAATACAGTATGCATCATGGTTCCACTGGACAAACTGCACAGAGGTATGGAAATTTCTGTTAAGTTTGTATTTTGTCACCTGAACTCTTTGTGGAAGTTTAATGTAAGAACACAGAAGAGATATCCATGAAGCAAAATGCTTAGAATCTGTAACTGCATTTTCATTTCTTTGTCATGATTTTCTTTCTACATTTGCATAGCAACTGTCATGGAGGAATATTTAAATTTCTCTGTGCTATTGGCTATGTGATCTTTCATTTTAAATATTGAGCACAACATTCATTTCTCCCCCATTATGCAGGTATTTCTGAAAGTGTTTGATGTTTTGCAGTCTGCACAAGCTACAGACATTGCTCTTGGCTTAATGAAACTAACATCATGCTTGGAGCGAGCCTTGGGTGACGTAAGTGCCAGCATGAGGGGTCTATTGCAGATTTGGCTTTATAAGATGGGAATGAGCTCTTGGATTTAATTGTACGTTGAAAAAGTTATATTACTCTGTTCTGTAGTAATACACTAAGAGTCCACATGCATTTTGAGTTGGACAGAGGTTCTTTCCTGGATCCAATTGTGCTGATGGAAACATATGTAGAGCTCCTTCACCAGTGCTTGTTCAGTTGTTTGTGCGAGTGCTGTTACTAACTACATTAATTAGGAAAGAGAAACATTTGATTGATCAGTGTACAGAGTAGGTCTTTATTAGTTTCTTTTATTTAACTGAAGTGGATATCATAGCTTCCACAGAAGATCTGGTGGTGTATTAACTTCTGTGAGGGGTAGCATGCAGCTTCTTGCCCAGGGAGAAGGGAGAAACAGCTGCTTAAACAGCTTTTGCTGCTGGACTGTTTTACAGCCAGATAAGTTAAAATGGCTAGTTGTTCAATATCTGTAAGGAGCTCTGGAGAAGGAAATGACAGAGAAAGAGCAATGGGCTAACTCACAAACCAATTTGCCCAACTGTGGGGCATGGTAAATTTTTCAGTATAACAAATCACCAAAGATTGGAAAAAAATGTCAGGGAGAGTACCAAGAATGGAAGGTGTGATAGCAGTTGAAGCTTGAGATGCTAATATTGTCCAACAAGGATAAAATCTAGTTTGAAGAACAGTCTGAGTCAGAAAACAAACCACAGGTCTCCTCCCTTTCACAATGATAGATCCTATAAATTTCTATTGTAAAAACAAAATATGCTATCCTTGATAGAGCTTAGGTATTCTTAATAAGGTTGTGCCCTACTAGGGTTGTGCCTTATTGGTTTTTGTGGGATTTTTTGCAGGAAAAAGACAGTATAAGTACAGACTCTGTGAAAAGCCTAATTATGGTCACATTAAGCAAAATATCCACTCTTTCCTGATGCGTTGTCTAGATTTTTAATTTGTTGTACAATTGCAGAATTTAAAGCCTTCTTAAGGATTTAGTGGGTTTTGTTTGATTAGTGTTTTTACAATAACGAAAATTGTTATTGTGTAAAATAGTCAAGGTATATGTTTGAAATACAAAGTATACTAAATTATTTATTATCTGTTCTGCCCTTTTTTTCTTAATAGGTGTATTTACTTAAGGGCAATGATTGTCCTTTCCTTCTAAGAGACTTGCTTGCATCTGAGCAGCTTGCAGATGTCTTTGGACAAGCTGTAGTAAGTACATAGTTGTTTTGAAATAAGGAATAAAATAACTACGGAGTTGGTTTTCTTCCTACCAAATGTACCTTGTGTTAATTTGCATTAAATTACACTAGATTTATACTACAAGAACTAAGAGATAAACTTGATCTCATTAGTTTGCCTGTCATAACTGTTTGGGATATTTAATAACTTGATTGGTTCTTCCCATATTATATTCTATATCTTGTACAAATCAGCTGAAAGTTTCTCCTTCAGAGAACAGTGAGAATTGCAATTAATGAGTTTCTGTTACTGTGATAAGTGGTGGCCAGTCATCTTGACAGTAGACGTTGTAGTTTCTTAATGATTTCTGAACTTTTCTGCCAGGGAAAGGTAATAAAAGTAAGAAGGTTAAGAAAGGAAAACAATAATAGATTTCTTCATGCAGTAATTGCTTTTTTTATTAATTAGATGAATGTACTGAGGGTATTCATTGGATCTCCACATGGTCTGAACCTTCGTAATGTTTTGTGGCATGGGTTTGCATCACCACAAGAAATTCCTGCCAAGTAAGTTACCAGGAAAAAAACACTCATTTTCTTACCAGTCAGACTTGTGAGTTCTTGGCAAGTGGTTAGTAACCACTTCTCTTATGGGAAAGAAAATTAATTTCCCTTGCAGCTTCTGCTTCTTTTGGAAATGGATTTCCATAGAATACTTCAGCCATTACAAAGGTGGCCAGTATTAGGTCCAGCAGGCTTTGTACTATTAGGGGAAACAAGAAAGTTTAACTTTTTTTTAAGTCAGGGCAGTGAGGAGTAACTTGGAACAAAAGACAGAGGAATGGGGTAGAAGGAGGAGCAACAGCAGCCAATGTAGAATACAGTGATGCTTTTTATCTGATTCTACCCTTTTTATCATGCTTATGAATGCAATTAATTATTAAGTGCTCCTACTCAGGTGGGGAGTGTACATTCTGGGTGTTTTTCAAAAAAGTGAAAAAAACCCTTTGTTCCTAACTCAAAAATGTTGGTTCTTTGCAAAAAAAAAATTCTTTGTATAAGCTTTTCTAATATATTGTGGTATTCTCCCTAGATACTGTGCTATGCTGCTCTTTTTAACCGCAGGATTGGGTCAGTTGTTACAGACCTATCTTCTGCAAACTAAAGGTGTTTTAGTACATCGACCTTATGTGATCTTCATTAGCTTAGAGGAGCTTGATGCATTTCCAGGCAAGTATTTAACCACTACCAAATTTTTTATTATCCTGTATTTGCTATTGTTTCCTTGTCCAAAAGTGCTGCTGAAAATAATGCATTTCCCAGAGTTCCAAGATTTAATCTTAACTAAGATACCTGTATACACCGTCATTAGGTGAACCAATCATGCTTGTAGGACATCTTAATATGTTGATAGTTCACTGACTATTGAGCAAAAAACTTCTGCATTCTAAAATAATTGCAACACATTGAAACATTAAATATGGCTACTTCTAAAATACTTCAACTGTATGTTACATTTTTTTGATTATGAGAATTAATTTCATATAACATTCATCTAGTTTGCCTTTATGAAATCTAACTTTTTTCAGAATCAATGGGTTCCAGCTGCTAGAGTCCCAGCAGGAGTGCCCTGAGTCTTACAGAGAATGTAGTGTTGAAACAGAATAAAAGATGGTGACACATTTTCACTACATTAATGCGTTTCTCAGGGAAGGATTTGAAGTGTCAGATAAAAATCTTCTCCCTGTCCACAGACCTTATTTGGTTTATTCCTACTTTTTAAAGGCAATAATAGCATATAGGGGATCTTGGTGTCAATGGTGAGCATGATCAATTTGTGCTATATAATCAGTGGAACATCTGTCTAGAAATTGAGACAGAGTTTTTGGGAACCAAATCAAGCTGATAAGATTCCAATAATTATGTACTGTAAATCCTATGGCTGTTGATTGGCTTTGAGAAAACACCTACTGCAATCAAGTTACACTTATCATTTTAAGCTTTCTCTTGGATGAAGCATTAATAATATGAATTTATAAGTGTGGGCTTCATTACATGGTAGCATTGAATTATGAAGTGTTAGCTTATTATGCTGTATTCTCAACACAGAAAATTGATAAAATAGGAACAACGTACTCATGTTCAAATGTTCCTACTACTCTACTGATTCTGGCTGAATAGAAATTATTCATTAATATTATATTTTTTTTAAGTATCTGAAGTAGGTAGAGAAGAACTCGACAGAAGCTGGGTCCAGTTGCTATGTAGTCTTTCAATAAAAAGCAAACATGACTTTTTAAAATGGTTTTACTCTATAATTTTATATTATCACCACATATGCAATCTTACATATTTAAATTCTGATCTTAAATGTGGCTACTGTTGTAATTGCATAGTTAAAATAAATTTGATAACTTTTAAATTTCCTTTTACAAATGTTGAAATAATATAATTCTTTCAGTGAAATATTTAAAATTCATTACAAAGTGTAGATTGTATGTAATTTTTCAATGTTATTTTTTTAACTTGCAGATCTTAATAGTGAAATACTTTCCATAGCTGAAGAACTTGTAAAACTGTCCAGTTTTGTATTAAAAGTTATGTTACCATTTTGGATTGCTGCTTTAACAGCTTTCAAGCAAAACAGGTAAGATCTTGTAATTTTTTTAAAATAGAATCTAAAAAGAATATATTCTATATTTTTATAACTGCATTTGTAGATTCTAAGGCTTTATACTAAATTACTTCAAAGCATATTGTTATGCTTTGTTATGGTGATCTCTTGGAAAGTTTGTTGAGTTATAACTTTGTTTTGTACCAGTTAAGACTGTAAACTATATTTTGAAGCCCAAAAAGAGCTTTTGGAGATGTAGCAAAAAAAGGGAGGTTTACAAAGCAAGCGGAAATAAATCTTCATATGTTGAATCACACATATCTTTAATTTTCAAAAAAAGTGTATTGTTTTGTTTTTCTCTCACATGCTCCATCTTTTTGAGAGTTATTCTCATCTCTGAGCTTGAATTCAGTGGTCAGTTTCTGTTTGGCACAGGTAGTCATTTATTGTTTGTTTACAAAGTGCATTACAAAGGAATTTTGGCAGGGTTGTTTGGCCCAAGACTGTAACTCTGAAATAGTTTATATTTATAAGGAAGAAAAACACCCTTTGGATATCTCTGTTACTTTTTCAGGTATGCTGACAGTGTGATTCTTTTAATTCCTCAGCTGGAAGTTGGACTTAGAGTGCTTTTCACTACAACTAATAAATGTCCAAATCGATTGCTAACAGCAGAGGTAAACTTTTGTCTAAAGTCAAATATGATTTAGTGCTTACAATATTTGCAAAAGAGTTATTCTAGAAATGTAGTGTCTATAGCCATTAACAGATTTACCCCACAAAATTTCAATCAATTTTGTAATATTATTTACACATCTCCATTTGAGATTCATTAATGCCTTTAATATTTTTTGTGCTTCTAAAAAGGACTGAAAAATTAGTGGAAGATTAAAATTCAGAAACAGTATTTAGGGTGAAAAGCAGGACATGATATATTTGTTTTAAAAAACTCAGGACAAAATCCCAAAGTGCCTTTTTTCATTCATAAAGGGACTTCTTTGCTATTTGTGCACCTCTGATATCTCATGCAAATGAATAAACTAAAGTTTTATATATATGACTAGTTAATTGATTTTGTCTGAAAACCAAATAATATTATTTGTGTTTTGTTCTAGTCTTCTGCTCTCTACACCACTTTTGATGAGGTACTGTGATTTTTTTCTAAATATATCAGTGTCAGAATATAAACCATGTATGTTTCCCATTACTAGAGTTAAGAATGCACTTTCTTTTGTTGAATATGTCATTATTTCTAACTTTTTTTCCCAAATAAAAGATGGTGGACAGTAAACACTTTAAATTTGGAATGCTTCAGCAAATATCAATATTAATACAAATTGTAATGAACAGACTATCTTTTTCCTAAATGTTTTTATCTTGAAATTCAGCACTCCACAGAAACAAACATTCTGCTATTTTTTATAGATTCAGTTAGTCAAAATAAATACAAATAAATAATGCCAGCACAAATCCTCAGTTTTACAAATTGTTTGAATTATTTCAAGTTGTTTGTCAGTATTAATTAGGAATCTTGATTCTAGAGTAGCAGAAGTAATCACATCAGATTAGGAAAACTATTTTAGTTGGTGTTTCTTCTTTGATTATATGGTCTTCAATAATTCAATAAGTTTCTGTTCAATTATTTTTTTTTTCCTAGATGCTAGCAAAGCATTTGGATAATGAAGAAGTCAACCAGCTACCTGTAGTTCTTGAGGAGCCTGCCATGGGAAGTGTTTTGAAAGTGTCTTTTGTTTGTTTGTTTCACTTAGTAATAATCTTTATGATATACCTAATAACTCAATTATTTCATATAGCTTATGTCTAGCAGTTTAGAACCTTAGAAGATTGTTAGCCTTTTTTATTGTGGAGGTTATGAAGTCATACCTGACAAGCTATATTTCATTAGAATATGAGGCTATCTTTCTTTCTGAAATATAAGTGTTTCAGAGATATTTGTCTTTAGACTCCTGAAGTTAAGCTGAATGGAGCAGGAGAAGAACTGATGCTCATACAGGGAAATTTCAAAACTTATTTCTGACTGCTTGTGAGACATGCCTTAGATTGTCTGGGCAGATAGCACAGAAATATAATTCAAACCTATCTGAGCACATTCTGCATCTTACTACCCAAACAGATTGTGAACAGAAAAACCAGGGCTTCTGAGTTTATTAGAGGTCTTTTGAGAGTATAGGGGAGATCTGAGGTTACTGTCCTGTCACCAGAGGCAGTAGGGCTATGAAGGGCCTGGGACACTGAGTTGATGGAAATCTGGTGTTAACTGTCACAATATAGAATGTATTTTACAAATTTAGTTTGCACTGTTTTGTTTTGTTGTGTTTTTTTTTTTTCTGAGTATCTGAACACCCCTATAATATAGACATAGTCACATACTTGTCTTTCAGAGATATTCTATACACTGAATATGTTCAGTTCTGTATGAGTATACATAGAATGGAATTCTGTATAGTTGGTGTGTGTTTCCACAGGACTTCCTTTGGGATTTCTTGAACCACCAGGAGGGCCCACGTATAAGAGATCGTTTAAGCCATGGAGAGATCAATCTAGAAACATTTCCTAGAGAAATAGCTAACCAGATAATTGGATTTGCTATTACTATTCTCTGCAGATTCTCAGATGAGAGTATGTTTTCTCTTAAGGTAGGGACCAGTATTTTGTTCTCATTTTGTTTTTTGTTATTTTGGATACCAAATATGATTTTAGAGTTTTATGATTGAATCTTTCCTTGTTGCTGTGGGACACGTGAAAGCACAACGCGGACTACTTGTTGCTTGCAAGGTAAAAAAGGAACGTTTATTATTTGACTCTGTCTTTTATACCTTCCCAAGGGTGACATTGGATTGGAGAGTGAACGGGCCACCTCTCCAAAGACATTGGACAAACTACTAGTACATCAAGTGCTCTCTACCCCCATAAAAGAATGTAAACAATACGTTGTTTACAGAAATTGTGTGGGAAAGTTCTCCAAAGGAATGTAAACTCAGAAGGCTTTAGGAAGTCTTAAGAATCAGGGTGACATTTCCTGACAGCTACTTTTTGTGCAGATGAAATATTCCTCCAAGTAAAAAATTATGAAAGTATGTTTTTGCCTAGTTCTGTAGCTAAATAAGTACAGAAAGTTTTCCAATATGTTACCTTTTCTTACTCTACCATTTGTTGGCTTAACCAGTCCTTATTCAAAAAGCTGATCCATAAATTATAATGATTCCACTTAATTTTGTCCAACTGTATTGATGAACTAGCCTATTTATCTGCAGAATTATCTGAAAGGTATGTAGAATATCTGTGTGTCGTTATTGAGATTTTCTTTTCCAGAGGCACTGTAAATAAGAGCATCTTGCTAATGGAAGTGTTATTTGTATCTATACTTACACTATGAATTTGTAAACACTTTTTGCCTAGCACTATGTTTCTCAACATCAGCAATTATTGTGTTTGCTCTCCCCCAGTTTCCTGTTTATGTTTGAGATTACTTCTTTCAATATCATGCAGGAACCTATGAGATAAATCTTCCATTTATTAGTGGCAGCTCTTAGTTTCTCAAGATGTGCTGTGAACTGCTGCATTAAGAGTGTACTTGGTTGCTTTTCTGTCAGCTGCTGTCAGGCTTCATAGTTAAAATATGTGAAATTAAGCTTCAACCACTCACTGTGCTGATTACTTCTTTCAGCCCTTACACATTTGGAAATGTTTGCTGACACCAGTGCTATAGGTGGCATGCATAAAATGACATATAAGTCTGAATCTGCATATGATTAGGACAGCTTAGAGAAACTGTTGTGTATTGTCTGTGATCTTGTAAATCAGGAACACATGGTCATAAAACCACTGATGAACTGTGCAAGTTGCTACCAATCTCGATTTCATCCAATTTCCCGACTCAAGAAACAGGTAGGTACTTCCATCTGTGACAGCATTGTGACCCTTAAAATTGTGAATCCTCAAAATTATCTAATTCTTTTCTTCATGCTTTGATTGTGTCCTAAAAAAAGTTCAAACCTTACTTTCTTTTTTTTTTGCTTTATTTTTCAAAACGTAAAGGAAATCACAGTTGCTAAAATGAAACATAATTCTGCACACTCCTGTTAATGCAATTAATACCATATTTGTGTTCTAGATCATGAAATAACTTTATTCTTACCTGAGTGTTTGCTTTTCTGTAGTTTTCTTAATCTCCATATGCTTTTTTTTATGTCAGGACCACTGCTGGGTCCTGTCTCCAGGATTAGGCTATTACTAAGTTTTTTATACTGTATGAAGGCCAGTTGATTAAGATTCTGTTATGGTAGCAAAATCTGCTTTCCAATGTCATAGTAGTTCTCTGCCAATCAGTTTAATGAACAGCTTGAGGATGTTTCTCTTTTGATTTGAGATTGAAGTAGACATACCTAGTTCTTTTACTTTTCATCAGCATGCAAAGAGTGTGTTACAAAAGTCATGTTAGTTAATTTTTTATATTTAAATAAAAAAGAATACTAAATTAGTTTGTTCAGATATTGTTTTAGTATGGAAGTGTGCATCTACTTTTTGTCCTAAACTAAACCTTAGCAAATGAAGTTGGCTTACACCGTTATGACTAGGGAACAAATAACTTACTGCCTGTTGCAGTTTTTTTCTAAATGGGCCACTAAGAAAAGCATGTCAAAGTCTATACTTTACAAAACATTTTTCACTATATGTTTTTGAGGTTCTGGAATGTATGAAGAGTATCCACTTATGGCCTGAATTAGCAATAGTGCCTGAAGAACAAGTACAAAAGATTAAAGGGTATGTATGTGCTGTATAAGATCCCCAGATACAAAAAAAACCAAATAATTCCATACTCTGAAAAGGACTTGGTAACCAGTAGGAAACTGTATAGAAGATATTAATTAGAAAGAGAATGTAGCATTCTATTGTTATTTGAAAAGGAGGAAGTCATTAATAGTATCACTGGAGGATATTGTACTTGTTTAGAGCTGAGAGAAAAAAATTTAATCTATCATATACATATAATCAGTATACTGTAGGCTATTTACGAATGGAGAATTAAGAGGGGTTCTGAAGATTGCTAACAATGAGAAAATGTTGCTTTAGTTGGAGAAAGAAAATCATGCTTGTAAGGTAGAGGGAAAAGAAATTATATGAGAATGTAAGAGTGGACACTGAATACGCTGCTATCCAAAGAAATCTGCATCTTGATCTATGCCATTTAAGAAATAATGAGTACTAAACTATTTTATAGCCTCAATTTTTTTTCTCTTGTTTTTAAGGTTGGAAGGAAATGCTGAAGGTAATACTTTGATTTTGATCATATCTGAAATTATATCTCAGTTGCAGCATTATATGCCCCAGAATTGCTGCAGTTCAGATGATCCTATAAATGGTGTCCTAACAGAGAGGTGAGTTTGATGCCCTCCCAGTTCCTGATGTCAGCTTCTACTTGCAGCCCAATGTAAGAACTCTCAAACCTAAATTATCCTGTCCCTGTCTGCAGAGAAATGCTTGAATTACTGAATGCATTTTTCTAGTGTTACTGCTGATTTAATCTGAAAATTGTAGGATTGAGCTGAACATCATCTTCAAAATCAGGATGAGACATTGTACATTTTAGAATTACAATAGAGATTTTACTTAGAAATTAGCCTGAAGAAATAACCTTTTTTTTTTTCCAGACCATGAAAGCGAAATATTTTAAATATTTGTGTACTTACTAGATTAGGTTGGTTTTAGCCTGGTTTGTGCTAAAAACTGCATCAGAAAATCGTTTTAATGTGCTTGGTGTCACAGCTGTGTGTGGCATTCAAAATGGCAATATGCTGCTATGTAATTTTATTCTTCATGCTTTAATATCAAGATTCAGAAAAAGAAAATATCTTGTGTTATATATATATATATATATATATATATATATATATATATATAGGTATCAGACTTTTAGGTATGTTATTTCCAATTATATCTGATTTGGAATAATAAAATAATTTGTCTTTTAATTGCCACTCTTAAAGCAGTCTTAAGAGCCCCATGACGAATGAATATGTTGAAACAAAACACTCCTAATGAAACCCATCAGGCATGGATGGCATAGAGCAAAGATGATTCTGCCTGTTGTTTTACTTACATAACATGTGGGTCTTCTGCTTCTACCCACCAATCTGCAAATTTATTACTTGGAGCAAAGAAGCCTAATTATTGATGTGTTAGACCTTTTCTTAGAGTTTTCTGCCTTTATCACTTCAAGTCATTAATGTTTTGCTATCTCAGGGATCAACTGAGCATGAGGGAGGTTAAGAAACACTTGCATAAGAACAGAGTATTTAAAGCGATGTGTGACACATTAGTGTAGCAAATATGACAGCGGGAAGATATTTGTGAGCTTTAACAAAGCATGCTCTGGTGTGGTGTTGATTAAAAAAATGGCCTCACCACCTGCATTATACGCAATGTTAAGTCTGCTTCTTGTTCTGCCCAGAAGACCACACACTAATGGGAATACTAATTAATAGCATTTGTTTCATGAGTTTTATTAGGTGGAGGTTAATTCATTGTGAGTTGAGCTATGGTGGGAGGCTTCAACCACAGCCCTGCTGTGATTTGATGTGTTCAGTGTATCATTTCAGCCAGGCAGTTTTATTTATTGTGGATGTGTTTCTTTGATCTGAAATGGGAACCATATTCATCATAATCAGTTTTGCATTTATATTCAATAAAGTGATAGAAAACAAAATCACTACTCCTACTACCCAGATTCTTGCCTTTTTTCAGTCATGAGATAAGGGCAATTTGTTTCCAAGTTTTCTGAATTAAAACATTATGAGTCAAACCGCACTTAATATGAAATGTATCTGATGTTAAATCCAGCTAACAAAGGATTGACGTTAAAAAATCCCTTCCTGTTTTGGAGGCTGCTGGTGGAACTTCGTGATACACGCATTTGCACGCTGTATTCCCCACGACCTGTCCTGGAAGTAGTGGTGGTACTCCGCAAAATAAGCTCGCAGTGCCATCAAGTGTCCCAGCAGGTTATTGCCGGCGCTGGGCTGAGACACACGCAGTGGCTTAACAAGACTCTGCGTTCTCGCCAGAGGCTCAACTATCGGCGGATGCTGAACAGGTTGGCTGCTGGTTTTGCTTTACTCAGTGGTTAGGGTTTATGAGAGAATGGCTGCACGCTGCTGTTGTTGCCTTTCAGTGGATTCACTTGGAAGTTTAAAGTCAACAGTGTTTGCATTTTCTTGTTAACCATTTCAGAATCAAGTGTCAACCAGGTTTCTATTAAGTAGCAATATTGAAATAACAAGAAAATCTCAAATTGGAGAGTAATTTGGGGAGCGTTGCTAGATTATGTCACTGTAAATTACAACCTTTCAAATCAAGTATTGCTTGAATGTTAGATAGTATCTTTTAAATTTCTGGCTTTTCCTATTGTCATGGTTCGACACTGGCACAATGCCAGTGCCCCCATGAAAATTCAATCTCCCAGCCGAATGCTGTGAAATGCGATCGAGAACAGAGCAAAGCAGGCCCAAGCCTAATAACAAGAAAAAAACTTTATTAAGCTACTACTACTATGCTACTATAAAAGAAAAAAGAAAGAAAGAAAGACACACAAAATTCAAAATGAAAACCTTCCAAAGCATTCCTCCTCTCACCACCCAAATCCAACAAACCACAGTGAGACACAATCTGGACCCCAATCAAGTTTCCACCCTCCAGACAATCGATACTCAGTCCATCCACTCCTGTGCCACAGACCCCCCAAGAAACACAGCTGCCAGATCCTGTGCTTCCATGTCACACATGGCACCGCCCAGAGGAAAAAGTTTGCCAATGGTGACCCTCTCCTTTCCATGCACAGTGCTCTCACCACCAATGCATGGATGGACAGACTGCTTTTAGGATTTTTCCTTTCAAGGATGCCCTGCCAAGAGGGGAAAAAATAACAGGTCAGGTTTTCATTTTTGGGACCACAGTCCCCCCCCATTTTCCCCTGGGGCCGAGGGTCCAAGAACAGAGATCTTCTTTTCTTCTTCTTTGAGGACAGGGGGCACCAACACAAACCCCCTAACTTTTCTCTGTTCGCTCCACTTCTGTGTTTTCCCAGCTGAAGCAGGTCTCTTGGCTCACTGGCATCCTCCTAAAATACAGTCTTTCTTGGAGGAGAAGATTGGTTCAGTCTGTGGCTACCAAGGAAAAAGTCCAGCCAAAAGCCACTCCATCATCTCCTTCCGCCTAGAATTTCTCCTTCTAACATCCCAGGGTCCAAGCTGTTTCTCTCCTCTCTTTCAAACCAAGGAGGAGAAAAATTTCACACAGCTTTCATTTCTCAGGAAGGGTTAAAAGTCCCGACTCCCAGGATGGCTCGATGCCCAGACTCCAGCTCCCACAGGCAGCTGGGCACCTTGCGGCCCCCCGCTCTTCTCCTTCCCTGCAGTGAACTGCTGACAAAACCGCCGCTGTCTCTTGAGAGAGAGAGAGAGAGAGAGAGAGACAGAGAGACTCTGGGGGGGAACGGAGACATCCCAGATTTCTTCACCCTTCCATCTGCAGGGGCCAGCCCGGTTCCAGCCCCTCCACCCTTGGGCCCACCTCAGTCAGGCCATGGGCCTTCCCCTCCCCACCCAGCCACGGCCGGGCAGGGGAGAGGCTGCACTGCGCCCTGACCGGAACCAAAGAGAGCGAGTTCTCCTGGGAATTCTGCTTTTAACCCCTCTGTGTTCTCAGAGGCGTGTCCACCTTCAATTGGTCAATATCCAAATTGACCTCTTCCTTCTGAGAAAATTATTTTTCCATGTCAAACCACGACACTTATTTAGGTATATAAATGCCGTTCAAGTTTTATCTGACTGCGATAGGTTTAACTGATTTGAAGATTTTATCTACTTTATTTTACTGCTTTTTTTCTTTACACTTGAATCAGTTCCTTTATAGATAGAAGAGGTTTTAATATTCCATTTTTTTTTTCCTAATCATAGCAGCTTTCCAGAGTTTTATAAGTATTGTGTTACTGGAAAGGTTATGTTCCTAAAAATGTTAACCATGTTGCTTAAGAAACATAGCTTAAACTGACAACTCATGATACACATTTGTGATTCAGTTGAACTGTAGTTTATTATCTATGGATTAATGGGAGCTTGCAAATTTTTCTTTGGAATCTTAGATATTTGCCTTCTTTTCCCCCCTCATTTTCAGTTTATGAGTCTCTGTTTACTTTTGTGGGATTTGTGCTGCTTTTTGCTGAAGGACATTTCATAATCTTTCTTTTCCCCCGACTCTGCAATATCCAGCAATTTAGATTGGGTGCAGAAGTCTTAATATTTGCTTAATATTAATTATTTATTTTTAATTTGGTTTTAGTTTGTTTATTTAAGTATTTTTATTTTATTTCTAGCATTAAATTTTTGTCTCCAGTGTTGCGACTCATCTTACTGTTGATTACTCAGGAACTAGTCAGTGTTCATTTCGTTTGTAAGAAGAATCCTTTTGATTATCAGCAGTATCTAAAGTGAGTATATAAATTTACTTTATGGAAATAGGAATTGCCCTAGAATTCCATTTTGATCTGTACTATAGAGATTTTTCATCATTATAGTCATAACTTTACCTTGGACAGTGAGGAGCTAAAATAACTTTCTTGAAGCGTAGATAGGGACTATTAATACATAAAAGTGGCATTCAGTATGTTGCTGACTTTACTCCATTTGTGTTAATTAACAGCTGGTTGGATATCACATACATTGTGAAACATTTGATTAAGAAAGCAAAGGAAGCCATTGGGGAAAACTGTCACACATTTGGTCACTGTATTCTTTCTATGGTGGTGTTAATTGCAGTTCTGAAGATCTTCCCATCTTGGTGTGAGAGGGAGGGAGTGGTTCCCCAAAAGTAGAGCAAACCATAATGTATTGATCATCCAATCCTGAGGGAGATTTGGAAACTTAAAGATATTTGCAACTTTAAGTCAGGCACTGCAGTATTCTTCTCTTCTCTTCTCTTTTTTTTTTTTTTTTTTTTTTATTTTTAAAAAGCGTTTTTTTTTTTTTTTTTTTTTTTTTTTTTGTTTTTGAAGTCAGTCTTGCAGTACACTGAGAACTTGGTGACGTACACAAGCCTTGAGAAAAACAAGTGGGATGAAACCATAGAACTTACAAAGAACACTTTGATAAAAATAAGGAAAATCTGTGACAGAAAGCTAATGTTAATGCATCTAGCTATGTGAATGAAATGGGCTTACGAATGTCTGGATGTTGTTATATCTAAACAGTTACAGAGACCTCATATTTGATAAATCTTATTCAAAGACGAATTTCATAAGTCATTTTCAAATTTTGGATGCAAAATTTACTCTTTTTGTCAGAAGGTAGCTGCTGATACTGCAGATGAATGATCAAGGTTTCATAGAATGGGTTGTTTATCAAATCCACTGGAAAATATTTACTGTGAAGTAAATCAGGATGATACAAGTTCTACTGTAAATATAGCTTGTATTTTTTACATTGGTTTTTTTTGGTTTTTTTAGG